CCAAAAATTTAAATGTGAAAATGCCGCCTTAAAATTTTTTTTTTGTTTCCCCCTCTTTTTTATAAGGGGAAAAAAAAAAAAAAAAAAAAAAAAAAAAAAAACAATCAAGTGTGGAACAATCTGTATCAGGAGATTTATTAGCGCAGTCTTTGGTGTGGAGAACAGATGAATGACTACACAGAGGCACATCATGCAGAACCTATCAATAACTCTCCAACTGTCGGGAGAGAATCAGAGGTCAGAGACAGATAATTTAGCAGTGGAATAAGGCCAAGCTGACAGCATATGGCTGAAACGCTCCGGAGGCAAATGAACGCCTTGATGAAACTGTAAGGGGGAAAGAGAAAAATGGCATCAAACGTATACGGCACTAACTGAAGAACGTGGTCTTTTCTAAGATGATGACTCAGAGGACGGGTTGCATGAGGAGAGACGTTTCAAAGGGTCCTATTGTAGAACAAAAACAATGCTGGTGCTAGTAAAAACCAGCAATCATGTGATTCCCAGTGGCAGCCTTTGGAAGTCACCACATCTCATTCTTTGTTAGAGGCTGTGCTCCTTTTTGAAGTCCAATTTCAAACGGGGAGAAACAAGAGTTTTAACAGCAGTTGGGGGGGAGGGGGGGATTAAAATGTTTGATCAGAGGAAATTAAAGAAATAACTCCTGCTTGCAAAAATGTTCATATGTATAGATTTTTTATTATTATTCGCATTTTGTCCCGTTAGACTTTAAAGTGTTTGATCAGGAGTTTATGTGAAATATGGTGGTGGTGGCAGCATCATAGTGTGGGAATGCTTTTCTAAACCAGGAATCGTTATGGTGTATAAGATTGTAGATTTCAGATTTGAGACACCTAAAGGGGGGCTAAGCAAATGCAAATTTGTCCCATAGTTCTTTGTAGAAACCATCCATCATGTTAAATTCACTTTACCAATATGCACTACTTTGTACTGGTCCAACGTAACCCACTTTAAAGGTCTTTACCATTTTATCTCCCAGCTGTCTGGAACATTCTTCTGACTGCATGATGTTTTTGGCCTGGTGACTTCTGAAGACAGTGGATCTCACCGGATTTTAAATGAAGTTAGAGTTGCAGCACTTACGATTTTTGGAGAAAATTTGGAAAGCCGTATACGCTTTTACGTCCTCTTCACAGTTTTCAATATTGCAACATTAGACAAAGCAAAATTGCCCAAGTGCTTAAAAAAATGTACAAGGTAATTTCAGCAGGGCAGCAAAGAAGAAATCTGAACTAAAATAAGATGGTAATTAAAAAAAATAAAATGCCAGAGGAGTCACTCTAAGGCTGCACGACTGCCATCATGGAGGTTTTGCAGTCCTGGATTGTGGGTATAAAGAAAAAAATCCTATTTTAGGCTCAAAAGGATTTCTACCATTTTTAATAATCTAAATGCATCACGCATGGATGTAATCCCTACGCGTGTTCCAGCACGCCTTTGCAACTGCTTACAAAAGCAGCATAAGGGAGAAGGCACGATAAATTAGCGTTTCCTTCTGAAAACGAATAAAATTATACTCATTGTTGGAATTGATCTCATGTTCTAATGCAATCAGATGCGGGCCGAGAGTAGCTTTTATTTACGATTTTTTATTTTATTTTTTTTAGTTCCTTTCAATAAATGCAGGAAAACCTGGAGCCTCTGAGGAGCTGCTGACAGGCTGCTATTATG